GATTTTATAGAATCGAATGAGACTCCTTGATTGACTTATTGTGAATATCAAGACAAAGCTTAGGATTTTAATATCAAACTCTATCTTTTGAAATCTTTTTTCTGTGAATCAGTTCAGCTGTCCTTTTCTAATACCTATTTGAATGCAAGCTAAATGAATATTGAAGTGTCTTCACACTGTTGCAAATGAACTACAATGAATGAAACACAAAACAAATCTCCAATACATAATGCTTAACATAGCTATTCATACATCTGTGTCTGCAAAATAGAAGCCACGCTTGACAGTAAGTCCTGTGATGGTCTTTGAGACACCTTCCTGATGTAAAGGGCAGAATATCAAATGGAATGATTTGGAGATTATATATTATATATGATTTTCTTTCTTGCAGGGCTGCTTGTTTTAAATAGCGGAGGCTGCCTGGATATGATATTCCTTTTAAACTAGAATCTGGTTATTGTCTAATGAGCTGGTTACAGCTGATGCTGCCTTTACCCTCCCTTACTCCCCAGAAATATTCCCGAGCAATACAGCAAATTGAGCAGACAGGAGGCTACTGCTTAAATGGATCACTGCATTAATAGTCACCATTGGAGCTAACGATGACAATTTTAAATAGTTGCTGTATTAAATTGGAATAGTTTAACTAGCGAGGGGCAATGTCAGAGAGGGGTTTAAAAAGAACGCCTTTGCTTTCTGCTCCAGCTCCGCTGAACTCTCACCCATTTAATCACCGGGATTAGTGCTACAAAAGTGTTGCCATCCTTCAATAATTCCATAAGCTGCGATGTAAAATTGCATCACTTACTACCATTGACCTGTTGCTTTTTAAGGATGAATTAACTGAGCTCTCTGAAAGTAATGTTATTGTTAATTTCTTCCCAAGTGATTAACGACTGGAAACTGAAGACTAGGATTGGAATAATTGGACAGAATGATATTACTCAGAAATTCCTGGAACCTGTGGTATTGAAGGTCTTAACAACGAATTGAACCATTTAGTGTTAAAATGGGAAAATGGACAGTTCAGTTTAGTGCAAAGCGGAATAGCTGTTGTGTCTGAAGACGCACGGCAAGGTACCAGCAACTGAAAACTGTGCCAATTAATTTATCATAATAATAATAATAATCCTTGCATTTGATATAGCGCTTTTCACGTCGGGAGGACGTCCCAAAGCGCTTCACAGAACACACTGTAAAGTGAATTGACTGTATATTTGTGGGCGAATGCGGCAGCCAATTGCGCACAGCAATGCCCCACTAACAGTCGTAGATTGAAAATGACCAATTTATTATTATTTTTGCTTTTGGAGGGATTATTATTAGGCTCTGTGTGGAGTAAGGAAACTTGCCCAAGGTTTGGCCCTCTGCCTGAACTTGAACTCAGGTCTCTCGCTCGCAAAGCGAGTGCTCTAACCACTGAGCTACAGGACTCCACAAAGCCCTGTAAGTAATTGTTGTCATTCAGTGATCATGTATGTGAGGTGAGAATCAATATATGGGACTGGGAAATATCTCTGGCTTACTGTGGCCTCGTTAAACACATCCTGGTTAGCGGTAGTGCGTGTGTTTATGTGTACGTGGCATTGTGTGGTTGGGGGCGTGTGTATACGTGCACCTCTGTGTGTGGTTGTGTGTCTGTGTGTTTGAGGGTGGGTGTCTGTGTGTGGGGAGGGGGTGGGTGTGTGAACTGCAGAAAGAACAAGACTTACAGGAAATAATCTGATCTGAACGAAAACTAATTTCATAGTACTGACCACTAATGCTCCTAACTCACCATGAAATCAACAAGCCCTCTTTGGTTTTAGCAGCCCTGCCTTCAACAACAATACGGTCCATAGTGATCGATGCCTCTCAGTCCCGAAGTGGGTCTTCATACCATCTCCAAAGGCAACAATATCCACAGCGTCATTGTGTTCTCTCCATTAATCTCAATCTCAATCTTTGAGATTGCTGGATTCTCAAATCTATGAATGTTAAAAAATTATATATAAATTATATAAAATATGCAACATTCCCTTTCTTTATGTTAGATTCTGCCAGCTCCAGTTATTATTTGTAGAAATTTAGGAATGGGAGTTTTGTCGGCGCATCGACTATCCTCCTTTGGGGGGGTGGGTGGGTGAGGGGGAGGTACGTGTGGTTTCCTTGGGAGATGAACTGGCTCCAAATACGACATGTTTGGCAATGGAATGTCAGAGTCGAGCCAACTCTGTGCGACAGTTTCGATAATCTGGTTCCCGAGCCAGACAGATCCGCAGTATTATGTTAGCAGCAGAGCCAAGCCTGGCTCATCGGCAGGACCTGGAAGGATTGACCAGTCACTGCACGCAGGGACTCATCCCACTCAGATCCCATTAATCCTGCAGGCCAAATCCCTAATGGGTTGTGTGCGCCCAGCTGGACAAGCAGCAGAAAAACTTACCAGGCAGAACATTCAATGGCCAGCTATGCGGTTACTCCAGGAGTTACCCCACACACTCTGGGATCCCCTGCACCTAATACAAATACTCATCGAGGCTGCTCAGCCACAGACCATTCCATGGCACCAATCACTGCCACTTCCTCTGCCTTCTCACCACATTGTGAATGGTGCAAACCGCTCCAGACTTGATCCACTCCAAGCTATCACAGGGAAAGGAATAAATAATTCAATGTTTACCTTTTAATTCCGAGAAATTTCAACTCAATGAAACCTTTAGAGATTTTCACTTAACTACCTGCCAGTTCCACTGTATCAGTAAAGCAATTTGAATTTGCACAATTTAACAGCTGCATAATAAAACTATTTAAGGCACAGCATCACTTGCCAGACACTACTGCAAGTAAATCACTTTTTAAGTGAATAGATAGTGGTACGGTACAAGCTTTTCAGCAGTGATAGTGAGGTAATACAGTAATCCAGGAACATATAATGGTTTTATGCTGCGTGGAGCTTTGAAGGGAGGGGGAAGAGAGAGTGAGGGGGTGGGGGTAGAGAAAGTAGAAGCTGTTTGCCGCAGCCGGGCCAGGGACACACAGCACACGTGTGGGGCGGAGTTCTTCCTTGAATATCTTTGCCTTTGTGCTTGGTGCCATGGGGAGCTAAGGGCATGTAAGCAGAACTTCCTTCCAAGAGGCAAAACTTAAGAGAATGGGCTTGACAGCCTTGTTCTCACTCCGTGCTTCCTTGCACTGTGTCCTTATGCAACTTTTCACTGTCATTGGCTGAGGCGTTCCAGATACCAAATGCCTCCTTGCGTGTCTGTAGCAAAGCGGCAAATAAGAATCACGGTCATGACAAATTTAAGAGAACGTTACACTTACTTTAAGCCCCCAAACGTCTGGAACTCCCTGCCTCAATCCTTCTGCCTCACCCCCTTTGCCTGTCTTCAAATCGCACCTGAAGACTTTCCACCACCCCATTAAACTGCAGCATCGTTAAGCGCTGTGAGATGCCATTCCATTGAATGAAACTGCAAGTTAATTCTTTCACATGGCAGATCACCTGTAAATGGAGAACAGGTAGCTATCTACTTTAGACCTAAACTTGGCTTTAAAACCAAATTTACACTACTCTCCAGCAGTTTACAATATTTTTGGTTTGTGCCCTGCTTGTCACACGATAAGATCAGCAATGGCCAACCTGTGGCACATGGGCTCTCGTGGCCCTCAAGAAGTGGTCCCGATCAGTTGCACGTGTCTAGCTTAGTCTGTGTTCGGTCGGCAGTGTTTTCAGTTTATTTTCTCGATTGAATGTTTCTTGATTTACAGGCATAAATCAAGAAATATTCCATCATTAAATTTTGTTGTCTGACCAAAACAGTTGACCCTCTCTGCTCCATCCTAAGAAAAGCTACTGCATACCGTAGCGTGGAATGGCACAATAGTGGCAGGCAACAAACCCCAATCATTCCTAGAACCACTGCTACAAGACCTGGAACTTACTCAACCCCTTTAAGTTCAGCGCCAAATTGAGACAAATGTCAGAAAGGGTCTGATTTTGGAGACGAGAGAGAAGTCTGTAGTGCTTACCGGTAACAAATTAGATGCTTTTAGTGTTTGGTCTGCAGATACCCATGGGCAGCTCCGATTTCTGACTAATCCATGTCCCACAATCCTGGTCAATTTCATTTTTCGTGCAAGAAAAAATTTCCGTACAAGAAAAAATTGTGAAATAAAGGTCAATGTGTTCAAGGAAGTCTAGGGGATCATACACCATTGCAATGCAGAAAGTGCGTGGGCTATGGTTATAGTCTGATTGGGCTCTCTCAGGCTGGTACCTTCCAATTTATCTTTGTTCTATTGTCAATGCTTTACATTAGCTTTTCCTCATAACTTACATTCTGGGTCCTGAATACAGCTCATTCCTCAAATACCTCAACATGTGCCTCCAATGCAACTGATACACTAAGCACACAATGGAATGAAACTTTCTTGTACCAAGATTTGCGGTGTTCATCACTATGTATACCTGTAGTCAGCAATTACCACCTGCAACCCAATCATCAGACATATTTTCAATGGCGGTATTGAAAAAGGGAGTTTCTCCCAGGGTCGTGGTCAACAATCTTCCAGATAAGATTAGTCACTCGCTTCATGGCAGTTTGTGGGATGTCACTGTGTGCAAATTGGCAGCCATGTTCACGTCTAAATAGCAATGCTGCACCTTGCAGTAAATCTTGTAAAATGTTTTGCGACACTGATAACGATAAAGCACTACGTTAAGCGCAAGGATGATGATTGTTAAGCTGCTGAATGCTGCCATTTCCAGCTGACTTCCTTTCAACAACAGATCTGATCAAAGTTCAAGACTCTCCAAAATGAACAGCTATTTTAAGTCAACAACAACTTAACGACAGTGGGTCAGCTTTCTTCCTCCTCAGCCAGGGTGAGCAATATTGGTTCAGTCTGTGCTTCAACCAGAAGTAGCTTTTTGATTCCTCCCCCCTCAAAATCAGGGCAAAAGGCAGTCGGTGCAACCCTACATCAATGACCGTCAACAGCACGTTAATAAGAACTCCCACAAAATCACATTTTAATAACCGGTTACAAAGTTGTACCTTACAATGATGTAACTGAAAATGTCTACATAAATTTTTTTTAAAAAAAGTTATACAAGGGCTGTAATTTAGCCCATATAAAGAACCGTGGTGGCTAATTTTTGGCTGGAGTTTGGCTAATCTTGTGAGCAGGTGGATCCTGGAGAGGGCTCTTCCGTTTGGTGTTGATGTCTTCTTGGTTAAGGTGATGGTAGGGGGAAGAGGGGGCAGGGGGAGAAGGGAAAAAACACACACAGGCTCGGTCTGTAATTAAGTAAAACATATACTTTATCAACTAAAAAGCAGTGACGTCTGTATTTCACATCACATTCATCTCCTTTGCTCACAACAAAAAAGAAAAAAAAAACATCGAAGTGCAGACGGGGAGAAAAAAAATAATTTCCTTTTTAAACAAAGTGAAGAAATACAGAGCTCCATATAGCACGTCAACTCTTTCAGCGTCTTCTGTTGGCGGACAAAATCTAAACAGCCTTTACTAGGTTCTAGGATGATTCAAGTGACACGTTTTTGAAAGGAAGCCAGGATTTAAAATATGTCCCACAGTCAAGTGTGGCTCAATGTCTCAGCTCTCGGCAGCCGACTCCATCTCCATAGGAATGGGCTCGGGCTCAGCTCTGTGCTTGTCATCTGAATGATCCACTTCGGATGTCTCTCGAGGGCTGTAAGGCAAAAAGAGTATAAAGCCTTGCATCATTCGTGGCCAGTCGGCACAAGACAAGCTATAAAAGACCACAGAGAGCTAAACTGCTCAAATTCTTTCATGGCTGATCTAGTCTCAGACCCCACAGCACACATCTCCTGGGAGAGTAGACCCATTCCATGTAATGGGCCATTTGAGAATAGATCAAATCAATGAACTCGCAACCTAGGAACCATCATTCATTGAGTCTTTGCTAAGCTAGTTCTCGTTTCCCCTGCAGAATCTATTCTCAAGGAGATCTGATAAGTCTTTAACATTTTGAAGGGTTTTGATAGAGTTGATAGAAATTATTCCCCTGAGTCAGTGACTAGAGAGCATCAATTAATTACCAAAAATTAATTAGCAAAAAGTGAGAAATTAGTTTTTAATATATACAGACAGTTGTTAGGATGTGGAATACCCTGCTAGGTGTGGTGGTCGTGGCACAGTCCACATTAACTTTCAATGTTCTTAAGATCATGTTCCTAAGGGCGAACTCCCTCTTCCTCCTGTCAAGAGGTATTTCCCTCCCCTTAAAGGGAATCGAGGGCGTGAGACAGGTACAGGAGGGGTGGGTGATGCTAATGTGGAGAATAAACAACAGAACAGACAAGTTGGGCCCAAAAACTTTGTTTCCGTGTCATATCAGACAGATGTCCATAAAGGAGTAATTTTCAAGGATATGGGGAAAAGGCAAGTACAATGCAGCTTTGTTTTAACATATATTACTATGACACAAAGTTGCTTAGAACCCGGTTATGCTGTAGATTTCATTCAACACTACAAAGCTGGCCAGCTCACTTCCCGTAAAACTACCAGCTTTTCGCGCTAAAATGACCAACTTCTGAGGTCATGAGATCACCGTCAACATCACATCCTGAATTGGAAGTTGGTCATTTTTAAGCATCTGGCGCTCTCCATCCTGGAATCCCTCCCTCACCTCTCACCTCCCATCCCCTATGAGGAATAACATCACCCAAAAGAAGAGATCGTCCTGTCCGCTCACAGTCCCCCTCACCTGTGCTGCCTGTTGACCTTGGCTTCTTCACTGTTGTTTTCTTTCTCCATCCGCAACTCATCTTCTGTCCATTTCTCTGGGTGGGTCTCACTCTTCTCAGACTGTGCCTCTCCGTTTACTGCCCCAGAGGAGTCTGGCAGTGATTGGTGGGAAGATTACAAATCAGATAATAATAATAATCCTTGCATTTGATACAGAGCCTCATCACGTCTTCGAGACGTCTCAAAGCGCTTCGCGGGATACATTGTAGAGTAACTGTGTATTTTGTGGGCGAAAACCCGGCAGCCAATTGCGCACAGCACTTGCAACTTCCTAAAATAAATAGGATGAGCAAAAACAAGTGCAAAAAAAGCAAGAGATCCTGTCTTCAATTGCAGCAGAGAACTGCTCGATTAATTAGGGGGCAAAGCTATAAGGAAGCACTGGCCACCTTGGGATTTTTTCTCTCTTGAAATCAGAAAAAAAGAGGGAAACTTAAATAAAAGTATTTATAACGGTTTAGAATATTTGTCTTCAATAAGTTTTTTGCTATGTACAAAATCTAACACTCAAAGGCTCATACCTTCAGAATAAAATAATCCTTGTTTTGATATAGCATCATGTTTCAATACATCTCAAAAGGCTTCACTGTAAATACTGTAAGTATAATGGCAATGTATTTGTAGGCAAACATGGCAACCCGGAAGTGAATGACCAATTTCTAACTGGAGGATTGTTGCCCAGGACACTAGGGGGGATCTCCCTTCTCTTTTCAAATAATGTTATGGGTTCTTTTACTTCCACCTGAACAAACAGATGGGGAAGGACTGCATGTCTGACAATGCAATGCTGCCCCAACCCCACAGGCTCGTAACCTAGACCATGAACTCAAAGTCCCTGACGTGGGGGCCTGAACCCACAATCTCCTAACCCCCAACCAACCTGCCCGCTCCCTCCGCTCAGTAGGCTCTGGCCTACTTCACGTCCCCCGCCTTGCTCGCCCCACTTGCCCTCCGCCTCGTCCCCTCTCTTCCCACCTTCAAGACCCATCTCAAGACCCTGCTCTTCAACCATCTTTTCGATCTCCCTGCTTCCCCACCTGCCCTCCACCCTCCCGACCCCGGGTCTATAGCTCTGCCTGTCCAGCGCCTTGGGACGTCATTCCGAAGTGAAAGGCGCTATACAAATGTAATTTTGTTGTTGTTCTGACCCAGTGGTTGGAGTACTACCAACGGAGCCAAGCTGACACAAGTAAGGACAAGCAAAGTGAACAAGCGAAGTGTTCAGTATAGTGGGCAACCACACACCTGTTGTCTGCTTTTCCTTGACGTTGTTCTGTGCTGCTTCCTCCTCCTCCTCTTTGGTTTTGTGTTCTTTCTCCTCCGTAGAGTGGAGCCTCTTCAATGTGCTATTTGCTGAATAGTCTCCTCCCACAAACATAGACTTTAAGTGAGTGTAGATCTCACTTGCTTTTGCCATGACCTCCTGACTGGCTTTGTAGCGGCGAATCTAAAACATCACAACATGCAGGCAATCTAGTCAAACATATCTATCAACACTGCTTTCAACATTCCACTTCAAGCCACAGAATAGAGTTAATACAGCGATTGACCACATCTGAATTAATGGACCTTATATGCTATTCTGGGTTATCACACGTTATTTCCAGGTTTCATGCTTCACTTTTCTATCTATAAATTTGCATCTGCTCTCCGTCCAAGTCCAGCGATAGAAACAAGGGATTTTTGAATTGATTTAATATAGGTTAGTTACTGAATTGCATGGACAGCGACACAGGCAACGTGGAAATAAAACCCATTGGGAAACTGTAACACAAGAAGACACTTGCCTTTTTTAGTGTTGCAACCAGATCGCTGTGTTTCTGTAACAGTTGTGTGGTGACCTGGAGGGTCCTCAAGTCTTCCAATGCCTCTACACATTTCTTTATATCCTACAAAACACCAAAAATTAAAAATCAACAACAAAGGTAGGGAATAGACAGTCTAAATGCCGGACAGTGCAAAATTTGGCCTGGAGTCATACTGAATGCATAGTCAGTTCATAGAATCTTACAGCACAGAGGAGGCCATTCGGCCCATCGTGTCTGTGCCAGCTCTTTGAAAGAGCTATCCAATTAGACCCGTTCGCCAGCTCTTTCCCCATAGCCTTTGTTAGTTCAGCAACAAGTATGGATCTGATAGAAATAGGATTTACATACATTTACTTTTCTAAAATTCAGATAATTAGGATTAAAACATTCACAGACATCTCAATAATACAACTGCAGACGACTGTTGCATGCTGTTTGCATTTAAGCTCTCTGAGTTGCTGTTGTTGAACTCAGAGATCAATGTAAAACTTTAAGATTCCATCAAAGTTTAAGTCTAGTTTGAATAGTAATGTAGAGGAACTGAAAGGACTACTCTGGGCCATCTGGCCAGCTCAGAAGGAAAGAATTCCAAGTCGTAGCACTGGATCATAATAATAATCTTTGCATTTGATATAGCACCTTACCATGTCGTCAAGACGTCTCAAAGCGCTTCACAGGATATACTGTAAAGTGTAGTGACTGTATGTTTTGTGAGTGAAACACGGCAGTGTCCCACAAAAAGCTGTGGGTTGAGTGATTAAATTATTATTATTATTTTTCAATATATTTTTGAAGGGACTTTTACCCTGGGGAAAGCAATCCACCAATCGACTAATAAGCGGGTTCCCTCTGTTATTCCTGTTATTGTTGTTGTTGAATCTCTCAAACAATATGTTTGTCAAACAGCTACTGAAGTACATCCCCCGCCTTCCTGGATAAGATAATATTTTGTGTTCAGGGAGAATGGATTTCCCCCACGCATGATATTGTGGGATAGAGTCTGAGAACAGACCTCCCAGTCTTAAGTTCTGGAAGCTGCATCTTACTACAATAACAACTTATAATAAGTCTCAAAGTGCTAAGGTAGAATATTGAATAGAATTACAGTAATAATAATAAATGTTGTATTTTGTATAGCGCCTTTCATGTCCAAGGACGTCTCAAAGCGCCTCAATGATCTACTGTAAAGAGTACTGTATTTTGTAGCCGATGAGGTGCATCTGTAAAACCTCGGGAGTTTTCATAAACCCAATTTGTCACTTTGATATCTTCATCTTATCCAATATTTTACCAATAGCTCATCTCAGTAAAATCTCACAAAATAAACACCACCACACCCGTTTCTATGAAAGAGACTTTCAGATTGATAGCAAATTATAGCAATTCTACAAGGATTTACAAATTAGGCATAAGTTAGGTTCTTATTCTCAAATCTGAAGTTTAAGATGGATTAACTCTTGCAGCGATATTGTCCACACTGACCTCTAACCTACCATTTAGAAAAAATAAACCCCATTTGTTTTAGGAACAGAATTGCGTCCTATGTTCCATTTCTGCCACTGTTCATTCATCTGGGAAAGCCCCAATATTCCCGCCACACCCATTCCCCTCCATGTTTTGACTCGAATCCCTCTGCGTGTTAATGATTTGCAGTAATAAATGGATAATAAATGGATAATAGCAACTGGAATTTTCTTTTTGACCCGAGTCCGATATAAACAGACCTGTAGCAATGGCGCCACCCAGTGACTTCCCATTAACAGCGCAGTTCGAGAACTTGGATGGCCAAACGTGTTCACCCAACAGGGAGTATTTCTGTGGCTCACCCCTCTCCTCTATTCTCCACGCCAAAAATATGGTTTCAGCATAGAGTACGTCAATGCAACAACAAATGGCACAAAAACAACACTTTCCATTCACTTTTTTTGCACAAGGGGCAAAACTAAACAGCGAAAAATAAACCAGCTCAGTCTCCTTCAAACGAATGACGCTTGCGTGCAATGAATTAATCAGAGTTTCTGCCTGGAAAATAAACGGCGTTGTAGTTTGGATTCTTTGTTTAACAGGTGAAGCAAAATCACAAGCTTCAGTCTGTCACCATCACCCCTGTAGCGCCTGGGCTTCAGTGCAAGTTGTTCTCTGATACTCACGGGACTGTCGACTTTCAACGCATGCTTAATGTCGGTGTGTAACTTCTGTAGCTTCTGTTCGGTTGACACTTCTGTCAGAACAAGAATGTGGTGTCAGCAACAAGTTTTAGCTTCCACAATACCATCTTTTGGTCCACTCCCTTCCAATCACTCTCCGACTGCTGATGTTATATAATAATCCTTGCATTTGATACAGCGCTTTTTACGTCTTCTAAATGACTCAAAGAGCTTCACAGAATATACTGTAAATTGAATTGATAGTATATTTGTGGGCGAAATGCAGCAGCCAATTGCACACAGCAGCATCCCACAAACAGTCGTAGATCGAAGTGAGCAATTTTATTATTGTTTATTTTCTTGAGGGATTATTATCAGGCTTGTGGGGTAAGGAAACTTGCCCAAGGTTTCGCCCGGCTGGGAATCAAACTCAGATCTCTTGCTTGTGAGGCGAGTGCTCTAACCACTGAGCTACAGGACTCCACGTTGTTTGACGGTTGCCTGGCACTCTCGGTAATCTTGCACATTATAGATTGATGAAATGGGACAGAGGCTGATGCACTCTTCAAGTCAACCGTGGTATTTTTGTATGTGAGTGTGGGTAGTTTGTATAGTTTTTTTTTAAAGAAGTGGGAGCTCTCGCTCTTCTCTAAGCTCAAGCAAGACAATCACCAGAATATTTTACAAAATAAACCAATGGGCTCCTACGCTCATACAACAGAGGCTTCAATTACCTTTTTTCTTTTCTATTTTCTTAACTTGTAACTTTTCTTCTCTCTTCTTCTGTTTTTCTAGTTTGGCTGCCCTACAGAAAGATCACAAACGTGTGACTTCTCAATGATCCAGAGCAACATCCTTTCGCTCAACATACAACACAAGGAACCTGATCACAAGGGCACGAGTACAGATTTTCCTTTTATAAAACATTCCACAACAAAAGAATAATAGGCAGATACCATTGATACCCATCAATACAGCTTATAATTGGTGAATTACATGACCTTTTAGTTCCCTCCCTTGAAGTGGTGCGACCAGGTGAGAATTGCCCATCTCACCTGTAGCAGATGGGGTTAAAGGCATCTTTTCTGGCAGCTCGGGTGTCAAAAGCACCAGAATGTCAAGCAACGCAGCCCAAACCTCAACCTCCAAAGGAACTATCCGCTCGCTTTTGCCAACTCGCATCTCCTTCAGAGGCAGAACAATCCACTGCTAAACACTCTGATGCTGTGCAGTGCAACGTTCCATCGCCAGAGGAGGTGAGAGAGACAGCGGTGGGGATTAGGGGATGTGGAAAGTCAGTCAGTAATGCAGAGGGCCAAATTTCCAACGCACACGCAAAGATGGAGGATTAAAAGTTAGCTTGATCCTGCCTCTCTCCTCCCAATGGGATGAATTATTTGATAATTACGTGCTTGGTAAAGGAGGTTTCCAACATTTCGCTTCTTCACAGATCCAGACTCCTTATTCTTCACAATAAGGGAACGTGCTCGAGCAGGTGCGGGATAGCACAAATCAGCAAAGACAACCCAGAAGCAGACCTGTCCCTGAGCCCTTATGGACTGAGCCAGTCAATCCAAGTACTTGCATGAGAATGCAGATTTCATAAGAACTATAGCCAAGCATGCTGGAAAACAGCAAGGGAGTCCTCAAGACAGAACGAACATAAAAGCAATTTGCATTTCCACTAACTGTGAGTTTATAGGATTGGTAACTATGGAAACCACCATCAGTGACTAAAGAACTTGTTCATTTCTGCACCTCAGCTTCCATTATTTATTCTGTTGATTAAGATTTTGTGGAGAGGGCTGCAGAATGTTTTGGAGTGTCACTAAGGAGATTGCAATGACCTTAGACAGTTTGGATAGCTACTGTCTCCATTTAGAAAGAATTTCACCGGTGCAAGGTCTCTTTACAACCTTTGAAGAAAATATGATCACTAAGATGACATACTTTCACCAGACTTGAGATGTATGGGAGGTCATGTGGAATGGTGTGTGTATATACACAGAAGGAGGGACAAAGTATGGGAGATTTATCAAAGACAAATGGTGGACAGCACACAGATCCAAGCAATGGCAGGGGAGTAGAAAGTCCTAAACCAGGCGGAGACAGTATGACAAGATCTTCTCGAAGTCACATCCATCACAATTTTGCCTTTAACAGGGTACTTTGTCTAGAAAACTATATTTTTCTTACTGGAAAACTGAACTCTTGTTATTTCAGTATTAAACAGGAGAGCCCAGCAGACTCTGCCTCTCTGCCAGGAAGCAAATTGACTCATTGGCTCGGTTGACAAGTGACTCATACAGTTCCATTGTGAACTACTGGGAAGCTTTTGTTGATCTGAGGTCTTTACTTATAGGTCCTCCGGACAAATTCTCCTACTGTGAAGAATAAGAGGACAAGGATCAGCGAGATAAGAGGGTTCACGAATCATCTCAGCTCTCTGCAAAGGACAAAATTAAACTTCACCTTCAGGAAAACCTATGTTATAAGACTAGTCATCCCCCCCTCCTCTAATTTTAAAAACACAACTTACTGCAGGGAATGGGGTACAAGACTCAGTGGGTTATTCAATCTAATTTGCAGGGACTCATAGCTTGAATCAATCTTTAATATTAACTTTTCCAAGTCACAAATCAGAAATGCTTCCGTGTAACCTTTGCCGTGAAATTAGTTTGTGGATATGCTGAGGATCAGTGTGATGGGATTCTGGTTGCTGAGAGTAAACCCGACTCGGAATCGATCGATTCCACAAACTAGACCAGGAACGAAAGTAAAAATTCAAGAAGTTTATTCCAATCCCCAAAAAGTTGTCTTACATTCTTGGGAGATATTCCAAACAATTGAAAAATGATTTATAATAATTTGTTAAGACTAGTTAAGCTTTGGAAATCACCATTTCCTGAGTGTATTATTTTGCTTTGCTTTTTTGTTGTGGTGTTGGATGATTTAGAGGCAAGATTAAAGAAATGTGAAATAGTAACACATTTGCTATGGCTAGTAGTCAATGGAGGATTTTAATTACATTGCGAGTCTCAAGATCCTTTTACAAGATTACGAGGCTAGACAAAGGTCATTGAGATTGTAGGATTCACTGAAAATAATACTCCCGCATGTAGATAACGAAAGCTGCCTTGCAATGTGTCCAAATAATCATGGCAGTTCAGGTAGGGTCAGAAACTCAACAGCAAATCACAAATGGTTGCTAGTCTACCTGAATCCAGAGATTCGGTTAAATCTAAGCAAGTGCAGCAAGCTGGATACTGACAGTCATGAGAACAGATCCAGGCTGGACTGGGTTGCAATACCTCCGCAGTCAAGTACCCTACTGACACAAATCAGCCAGCCTCACGCAAGAAAGACCTATTGATGAGACACCAGAGGGTAGCACGATCTCTCCCCCTACCCACACAAAAATGATTTATTGCCTTCTATTGTGAGTGGAGTGGGGAGGGTTACAATGGAGAGAATCAGAGGGGGCAATCTGTTTCTTGTACAAATGTTACATGCCGAGCAGCAACAGGTTACAAGACTCGTTTGTATTTTTCAGAGCTAACTTAAGCTTTTCTTCTGCACGCTAAGACAATTGCTAGACACTGATTGAATGACATCTGGATTTACCTTGTTTACTCTATTAGCATAGGTGTTGGTTAGCAGTTGAGTTGGAAACATACCTTTCTTTGTGCCTCTCTTCCTGCTTACGCTTTCTCTCCTTTTGTTCTCTCTCNTTTTTCTGTCGATTGGATCTATTTGTCGGCTCAGAATGCGGTTTCTTAGACTTTTTCTTCACCTGCCAAGAACAAAACAACGCAGCCCCTGCTTAACCATATTGTTACCAAAGATAACGACCTTGGTTTAACATCTGTTCCAACTATGCCATACTAGCCCAACAACGTACTGAGAGTGTTAACCTAGACTTGAGTTCAAAGACTCCAAATGGGGGCTTTAACACACCACCTTCTAACTCAGAGGCAAGAGTGCTACGAACTTAACCGGGTTGATGCTTAAAACGATCACGTTATTCCTATAGTAATTGTATTAACTAATTTTTTGACCCTCTAATCTGCAAATTAGTTCTATAACCACTAGGTAAGAAGGTCACCAAAATCGTTTCTAATTGAGGCAAAAGAGGCATTTCATTCAATGTCACCAACTGTAATTCAAGTGTAAGTGAGAGCGTACATGCGAGGGGGGTAATAGAGACAGGCTGGAAGAGGGGGAGGATTACAATCGGTGGAGACTCATGTGGGATATAAACACCAGTAAGGAATAGATGGGCTGAAATAGACAGTCCCAGGACTGCAGATTCCATGTAACTTACTGGATACCATTGGTAAGATGGACTTCAACCCATGGAACAATTCATCAGATAGATAAATCTAAAGAAACATCCAGACCCAACACACTCACCTCTTTTTCCTTTTCCACTTCAGAGTCTGAATCAGAAGAGACCTTCAATCTGGCCCGATTTTTCTTGGTCTTCTTTTGTTCCTCCTTCCTCTCTGTGGCAACTACATCAGTTATTTTGTCTCTATCTTCCTCTTTCTCCTTCTCCTCTTTCCGTCTCCTCTTCTCTTCCTCCTCCTCCTCCCGTTCCATTTTCCTCAGTTTCTTCAGCTCTTCCTCCTGCAGTTTCCTTCTTCTCTCCTCCAGCTCCTTTTTCCTCTCCTCATCACGTTTCTTCCAGTCGCTTATCTTATTTTCTCCATCACTGTCACTGTCACTGCTGCTAAGAGCGAGGGAAAACAAATCAAACAATTGAAAATAAGAAATATTTGACCTCATCCCCCAGAATATTCACCCTACTCTCTGCCCATTACAGCAACAAGCTTAAATGAGTCCAGTACCCTGGCATCTGCCAACTTTCCTAGTAACCTGCTCCAAACGTTGATTAACCCTTTGTGTTAAGCAACATTTCCTGGTGTTCATCTATAGCTTTGCTACATAAGAACATTTAAAGCACGTTGAATATTAAAGACCCCCTCTTTGGGCTTTGGACTTTCCAGCGCTTTCGAACGTCCTCCCGACGTGAAAGGCACTCTATAAATGTAATTTTGTTGTTGTTGTTGTTGACCTGGTTCACCCAGTTAGGGTCAGGAATAGCACATCATCCACTGCCTCGCCACTGGCTAGATGCGAGGCTGTGAAATTGTCCCAGGATTCAGCAGCATCTGCTCTTTAAAACAGCACAGACATGATGGGCTGAATGGCCTTCTTCGGTACTGTAAATTTCTATGGTTCTATCAACCCTGCAAGGATCAGCTTCATTAATCAAAGGTCCAAGCAGAGGAGAAAGGATACAACACCCACCATCAATGTGAAACCAATGTAAAATTGAGGGAAAAAAAAATTAGCTTTGATGGTTAAAGATTCTAAAATCAACCCATTTTTTCTCTTCAGATTCCAATGGTACATTTCATAACATAACATATAGGAGCAGGAGTAGGCCATTCGGCCCTCCGAGCCTCTGCCCCGCCATTCAATCATGGCTGATCTTCTAATCTAATTCCAGCTAATAACCTAACACTGCCTTATCTCATATCCCTTAATCCCTTTTGCAATAAGAAATCTATCTATCTCAGTCTTGAATATGTTCAAGGACTGAGCGTCAACAGCCCTTTGGGGTAGTGAGTTCCATACATTCACTGCCCTTTGAGTGAAGAAGTTCTTCCTCAACTCAGTGCGAAAGGGCTGCCTCTGATTTTAAGGTTGTGACCCCTGGTTTTAGTTTCTCCAACCAGGGGAAACAACCTCCCACTGTCTACTCTATCATGCCCTTTGATGATCTTATAGGTTTCTATAAGATCCACTCTAATTCTTCTATATTCTAGAGAATATAGGCCCAAATTCGTCAGCCTATCCTCGTAACTCATCCCCTTCATCCCTGGCACTAACCGAGTAAATCTAAGCTGCACCCCCTCCAAGGCAAGTACATCCTTCCTTAAATAAGGAGACCAAAACTGCACACAGTATTCCAGGTGTGGTCTCACCTATACAGTTGCAGCAAGACTTCCCTACTCTTATACTCTAATCCTTTCATAATGAATGCTAACATACCGTTCGCCTTCCTAATTGCTTTGCTGCACCTGCAGAGTAACTTTCTGTGATTGGTGTACAAGGACACCCAAGTCCCTCTGGACGCTAACACATTCCAATCCCTTCTAAAAAATAACCCGCTCTACTGTTTTTGCTACCGAGGTGGATGACTTTGCACTTCCCTACGTTATACTTCATCTGCCACCTACTTGCCCAATCACCTAACCTATCTGTCGCGCTGCATTTTTTTAAAGTCATCCTCTGTGTTGACACTTCCTCCTAGTTTTGTGTCATCCGCTAATTTAGATGTATTAATTTCGATGTCCTCATCTAGATCTAAATAGCTGAGGCCCAAGGACTGATCCTTGTGGCACTTCACTAGTCACATCCCGCCAATCTGAAAAGGACCGGTTATCCCTACTCTTTGTTTCCTACCCGTTAACCATTCCCCAATCCATGTTAATATGGATTTCCATGGGCCCTTATCTTTTGGACTAACCTTTTATGTGGCACCTTATCGAATGCCTTCTGGAAGTCCAAATAGACCACATCCACTGATTCACTCTTATCTAGTTTACTCAAAATATCCTCAAAAAATTCTATAAGATTTGTCAAACATGACTTCCCTTTTGTAAAGCCATGTTGACTTGGCCTAATTATATTGTGTTCCCCTAAATACCACATCCTTAATCAACGATTCTAAAAAATTTTCTATCGCTGATGTGAGACTAACTGGCCTATAGTTCCCCCATCTTTTCCTTTCCACCTTTTTTAAATAGTGGTGTGACATTTGCGATCTTCCAATCCATGGGGACTGTTCCAGAATCCAAGGAATTTTGGAAGATCAGACATAAGGTCTCCACTATCTCATAAGCTCCTCTTTTAAAACCCTGGGATGCAAACCATCTGGACCGGGGATTTGTCACTTTTTAGTGCTGACAGTTTCCCGAGCACCAATTCTCTACTAATGAAAATTTCCCTAAGTTGCTCCCTGTCCTTATCCCTTTGGTGCATCTCTATTGTTGGCAGACTGGTTGTGTCTTCTAGGGTGAAGACAGATGCAAAGTACCCATTTAGGGACTCTGCCATGTCCTTGTCCCCCATTACAACTTCTCCCGTCTCTGACTGTAGTGGACCTACATTTACCCTCACTAGCCTATTCCTCTTAATATATTTGTAAAAACTTTTACAATCAGACTTAATGTTCCCAGCGAGCTTACCCTCATAATCCTTTTTCTCCCTCTTAATGAGTTTTTTAAGTTTTATTTTGCTGGTTTCTAAAACTCTCCCAATCTTCAGATGCGACCGCTGAGAATTTTGCACTACATCCTTAAATATTTGCCACTGTTGGTCTACATTTTTACCTCTTAATCTTATTCTCCAGTCTATTTTACCTAAATCTTTCCTCAAAGCTACAAAATTAGTCTTATTTAAATTCAGAATACTTGCCTCGGATTTAACTATATCCCTCTCTAACTTAATGCAGAATTCAATCATATTGTGATCAGTCTGCCCTAGAGAATTCTTAATACCTACACTGCCAACTCGCTCTGTTTCGTTACACAAAACAAGGTCTAGGATGGCCTGTCCCTTAGTTGGTTCCTCGGTATGCTGCTCCAGAAAGTTATCTCTCATACACTCAATGAACTCTTCTTCTGGCCTACTTTTGCCGATTTGGTTTTCCCAATCTATGTGGAGATTAAAATCACCCACTATTATCGCTTTACCTTTCCTACATGTGCTCCACTGATTTCTTGATAGATACCCTGTGCTATATTGTGATTGCTGTTTGGGGGGTCTATAAACCACTCCCATTAATATTTTCTGCCCTTTATTATTTTTTATTTCCACCCATAGTCTCGACCTACTGGTCATCAGATTTCAGATCCTTCCTCTCCACTGCTTTTATTTTATCCCTAATTAACAGGGCTACCCCCCACCTCTTTTCCCACAGTGCCTATCTGTCTCTAAACTGAGAACCCTGGAATATTTAATTCCCACCCTCGATCTCCTTGTAACCATGTTTCAGTGATGGCTACTAGATCGTACCCATATGTGTCTATCTGTGCCTTTAGTTCATCAGTTTTATTCCGAATGCTTCGCGCATTCAGTTATCACATTTTTAATTTCCTACCATTTCCTCTACTCTCTGATTCCTTATCTACTTTGCCAAGCTTCTTACCCCTAGTTAATATATATCTATTATCTGGCATGCTATTCTGCACTGTCATCTTTACTTTTTCTAATGCTAACTTATGGTTTCTCTTACCTATATATTTCCCCCCCTTTACTAGTTTAAATTCCTATTTATTTCCCTGTTAATTCGTTTAGCTAGGACATTTGTCCCAGCACGATTTAAATGCAGCCCTTTTCTCCGAAAGAGCTCTCTTTTCCCCCAATATTTGTGTCAATGGCCCATAAGGAGAAACCCCTGAGTTCCACACCACTCTTTTAGCCATGCGTTCAAGTCCTTAATTTGTTTGTTCCTGTACCAATTGTCGTATGATACAGGCAGTAGTCCCGCTATTACCACCTTCGATGATCTCAACTTCAATTTGGACCCCAGCTCTTCAAATTCCCTTCTCAAGTCATCTTGGCCTACTCTACCGATGTCATTGGTACCTATGTGAAGTACCACCAACTGTCTCTGATACTCCGCAGTGTCTGCACCTCAGATTCCAGCTCAGCTACTCTGAGCTGGAGCTGCCTCAAGTTTCAGAATCTTCTGCAGATGTGGTCACCCGGGGTCAAACTGCCCTCCATCAGCTCCCACATGTCACACTCCTCACATAACACCTGCCACGCCTCTTCCAACTTGAGTAAGTCAATGAACTTAAGTTAATTAAGTTAATTAGGTTAAGTTAATTAAGTTTTAAGTCAATCAAGTTGATCATTCAGATTTTCTTCTCGTTCCTATTGAATGATGTTCTTGGTCAGTTTGCTCACCTCATGCTGCTGGAGACAGATGGTAACCTCTCGGGCTTTGCTCTCCTCCCTCGAGGTTTTGGAGTCTTTTTCTCGGCCACTAAACAAACAAAAACATTCATCTCTAAAATCGGGGTGTGGGCATTCAGTTATAGAAAACTAAACAATGGTAATCGTATCAGACAGGTGTCAATCATTTGTACATCCATCTGTCCAGCCTACATCCCAAAGGACTCCTTCAACACTTAATTCATTATAATACTTGCATTTGATACAGCCTCTTATCACGTCGTTGTGACATCTCAAAGCTCTTCGCAGAATAAATTGTAAAGTGAATTGACTGTATATTTTGTGGGCGAGATGCGGCAGCCAATCACGCGCAACATTGTCCCACAAACAGTCGTGATTTGAGTGACCAATTTTTTTTAAAAAAAGGAGTTATTACCCTCAGAAAAGCAATGTGCCAACCGGGTTCCTACTTACTGCTAGGTAAACAGAGGCGTATGTGTCGAGTAAGGAAACTAGTCCAATGTTGCACCCTGACGGAATTCGAACCCATGTCTCTCACTTGCGATGTGAGCGCTCTAACCACTGAGCTACTGGACTCCAATTTCAATAATAATATTTCCCATTTGATTTTAGTGCCTTATCAAAATGATGCCTCTTGTTCCTGAGTTTCCAACATCCAAACTTGCCCAAATCTTCATAATTCTAAATAAGTTGAAATCACTTCCCCCATTAAAGGTGATTCGTTTACTTTTGGCCCTGTTGGTACAGTGGCTACGGATGAATCTGATGTTTAGAGATTCCTCATCTACACTGCAATACCTGGTTTTCTGCCTCTGGGAGGTTTCTTAACAGAATCATCAGAATCTGATTCTTTCTTGTAATCTTCATCATCATCCTCCTCCTCCTGGAACTGCATCTTCTCCTCTTCCTCCTCCTCCACCTCTTTCTCCTCTTCTTCCTCTTCCTCCTCCTCCACTTTCTCCATCTCCTCCTCCTCCTCCACTTTCTCCATCTCCTCCTCCTCTTTGTACTCCTCCTCCTGCTGCTGCTGCTCTTTCTCCTCCTGCTGCTCTTCATCCTCCGAGTCCTCGTCAGATGATGACATCTAGAATTAGTTAAGAGAATAACAGACAGCACAGAGGAACAACTTAATGCCGGTCTTCCATTACCCAGTGTCATACTGGAGCAAACTCAGTCCTGGTAAAATATCCTGCTTCTCCACCACCCCCCCCCACCCATCCCTCTACCCTCCCAAGGAGGATTATAGTGTTACGGGATCTTTTAACAACCAGCAGGCACCATTTTGAAAAATCATCAACAAATAGAACAGGTTAATAGGAAGGGTGATTGACTCATTAAAGAAGTAGTCCAATGTTGTAATGGAGGACAGTCGGGTTGATATTATGGAAGGATGCCATCAAATGGGTAAAAAGGGTCTTCTTCATCCAAACCTCACTTATGATCTTGTCGCCAAAGTGAAACCTTTATAATCGTCTTCCCCGTTTCAAATATAATCCCTGAAACCAAGATTTCCCCAAAAGCATAAACAAAGTCATAATCAATTTACCTTTTTCTTCCTTCCAGCTGCTGATCCCCTCCGAGGTGTTCGGGACACGACTTTCCTTTCTAGGGTGAATTCCTAGAGGAAAAGTTTAAGAGAATGTATCAAATAACAACAACTTGCACTTATATAGCATCCCTCACGCAGGGTAGGGGCCCTTGTCAGTGGTAGAGCACACAATGCTGAGCTGGGGGGGAGGTGACTGTAGGCACGGTGGAAGAGGAAGGTCTTCAGGCGCAACCTGAAGATGGGGAAGGAAGGGGTAAGGCAGAGGGATAGAGGAAGAGCATTCCAGAGTTTCAGGGCGTAGTGGCTGAAAGCGCAGCCACCGATAGTGGAACGAGGGACATGCAAATGGTTGTCAACCTCAATTTGGTATGGTTTATAAAGACCTAGGGTCTTCAGTTGTCAATGAGTTGCCATATAATTTACTGTAGTGCAATTAATACGAACATTTCACCCACCCTCCCCCTGATTTTACAATAAAAAAGCAGAAGAGTGCAAGAATTGTTTAATATTATTCTTTTGAGGTACTGCAGAAAAATCTGCCTTCACTCTACATATACTCACTTGGTCACTGTTTTTCTCTGATTCCGACGAACTTCCTTCAGAATTCTCATCGAGTGAGTTTGACCCAGCCTCCTCCTCCTCCTCCTCCTCTTCATCACTTGATTTCCGAGCACGTTTAGGGGGTGGTTTCTACAAAAGAAGCAGTGGTAAGAAGTTTGCACTGCTTAATGCACAGTTAGTGCATTTTATCACAACCCCGGGCTGTGATCAGCTAACACGTCACAAGACTGTGAATTGAACCTGGGAGCTTCTGGTTTGCATACATCAGTGCTAAACCTTTACCACTACCACTGACAAGTCCTCAGGATCTCTGGCTCACTTTGGTTTTAATTGAAACACACTTGTACAGGAAAGGGGAGTAAATAAGGGGGAGGTTAAATCCCCTAAACATTCTCCAATCGATGTGAATGAGCTCACCTTTGTGGGCAGAAGCTGTCTTTTGAACCCGCAATGCTCAACACTGCCCTTGTCTGATTCCACATCACTCACTACTTTGGGCTCTTCCTCCGGCCCACTCTCTGCAGCCACCTCGTTCTCAGGAGCTTCACTGTCTGAAGAGCTTGCTGGCTGAAATAAACACAGACTGTTAAGTGTTTTACTGCTAAAGATCAAAAGAAGAACTACAGAAAGAGATCTATTTTCTGGAAGCGCTCCGGGACACTACCCCACTTGAAGGGTGCATTATAAATGCAAGTTATTGCTGTTAATTTGTACAGTGAGTTCAAGGAATTGGGAATTAAAAAGTAGAACTTCCAAGGTAATAATACAGGGATTGCTGTCTGAGCCATGTGCAAATTGGTACAGGTACAGGCAAATTAAAGAATCAAGAATGGTGCGGAGAGCAGGGGTTTCGTTTTACGGGCCACTGGCACCAGTATTGGGGGAAAAGGGAATTATTCCGTAGAGATGAGCTCAGTCTAAACCGGGCTGGGACCAATGTCCTGGCAAAACGAATAAATAGGGAGGTAAGGCAGAACTTTAAACTACTAAGGGTGGTGGTGGTGGGGGGTGGGGGGAAGGGGGGTGAGGGAAGGTTACAGTTAGAAGTAAACCAGTAAAACTAAGAACAAGGTAGAGCAGATTAGCGAGGGAGATAAACAGAGTGTGTCAAGGAGAGACACGAAGCTCAGCAAAGAAAATGGGGCATTAACAAGTTGGGGAAATAGCAAGTAGTCTACATTAAAGACGCTATATCTGAATACACGAAGCATTTTTAATAAGATAAGTAATTAATTGCACAAATAGAAACAAACGGGTATGATCTAGTAGCCATTACTGAGACGTGGTTAAAGGGAGATTCAAGGGTGGGAGCTAAATATTCTGGGGTATTCGGCATATAGGAAAGATAGGCAATGTGGGAAACAAGGTGGGATGTAGCCCTGCTAATAAAGGATGGGATAAAAACAGGATTTTAAATCAGGATTTAAAGGAAGGATTTTAAATCAGAAAATCAGGATGTAGAGTCAGTCAGTATGGGTGGAATTACGAAATAACAAGGGGCAAAAAACATTAGTGGGAGTAGTTTATAGTCCCCCAAACAGCAGTTACAGTATTGTGCAGAGTAATAACCAGGAAATTAGAGGAGCATGTAGCAAAGGAAATACACTAATAGTGGGTGATTTTAATCTCCATATAGATTGGGAAAACCAAATTGGCAAAAGTAAGTTAGAGGAGGAATTTATAGAATGCATTGGAGATAGTTTCCCAGATCAGTATGCTGAGGAACCAACTAAGGATCCGGCGATCCTCGATTTTGTTTTGAATAATGAAATAGGGCTAATCAGCAAGCTGGAAGGCTCCCCGAGGGCAGAGTGACCATAACATGATGGAATTTCGCATTAAGTTAGAGAGTGTGGTTAAGTCCGAAGCAAAGGTCTTAAATTTAAATAAGAGTCAACTTTACAGGTATGAAAGAGGATTTAGCTAAAATAGACTGGGAAATTACATTAAAAGATATGACAGTAGACCAGCAATGGCAAAACTTTAAAGATATAGTACATAATTCCCAGCAATCACATATTCCCTTGAGGAATAAAAATACCACGGGAAAAGTGGTTCAACCATGGCTAACTAGAGCAGTTAGTGAAAGTATAAAATTAGAAGGAGACCTATAATACTGCCAAAAAAGCAGTTAAACACAAGGATTGGGAGGGCTTCAGAGATCAACAAAGAAAAATTGATTAGGAGGGAGAAAATGGATTATGAGGGCAAACTAGCTTCGAACATAAAGACAGACTGCTAGAGTTTTTACAAATATATAAAGAGGAGGAGACTATCAAAAGTGACAATGGTCCATTACAGGCAGAGAGAGAGAGGAAGAATTATAATGGGGGATGAAGATATGGCAGAGTCATTAAACAAATACATTGCTTCTGTCTTTACGTTATAAGACACTGAAAACTTACCAAAAATAGAGGGGAACCAAGAAGCTAATGTTAGTGAGCAACTTAGGGAAATTAACATCAGTAACAAATTAGTACTGGGGAAACTGTTGGGGTTGAAAAATGGGAAATCCCCTGGACTGATGGCCTGCATCCTAGGGTTTTAAAAGAGGTGACTGCTGAGATAGTGGATGCCTTGTTTTTGATCTTCCAAAATTCCCTGGATTCTGGAACAGTTCCCATTGATTGGAAGATCGCAAATGTAACATAAGAACATAAGAATTAGGAGCAGGGTGCAGGAGCAGGAGGCCTGGGTGGGAGAGTAAGCTCTGAAGCTCTTATTGAATGAGGGGGCCGAATGGCCTACTCCTGCTCCTAATTCCTATGTTCCTATGTACTAATCACAACAGTGGTTGTGGGGTATCCTCCTGACATAAAAGGCACTATATAAATGTAATTTGTTGTTGGTGGTGGAAATATTAATTTGAGACTCCTACATCAGCTGGTGCAGTTGGCAACTTTTCATTGAAGTGCGGGCAAAAAGACGAAGCAAAACAGACAGGGATGATGTGGTTGCATTTCAACTTTCTGGCTCCCCTCACCACCCTCCAACACTTACTTAGGAAGCGTTACCGTGACTTCAGTAAGCCGACAATCATTCTTGCAAATATAATGTTGTCTGACCTGTACATCCCTACAGTTTCAGAAATTTATAATCATTCCGTCCAAGATATGACAGAGAGGGGTAGTTTAAAAAAGTACATTGCTGGGTTACTGAGAATTAATATTCCTGGTACATGGTATTCACTGATGTGTTGAAGAGGAATCTTGATACATACATGAGTGGAATTTCCTGAAATCTGCTGATCTGGAAAAGTAACACCACGGGGATATGGGAGGAGGGAGATTAGGAAATGTGGACTAAGAAATGTGGAGGCTCGTATGGAGTTTAAACACCAGTACAGGCTAGTTCTGTGGAGTCCTGTAGCTCAGTGGTTAGAGCACTCGCTTTGCAAGCGAGAGACCTGAGTTCAATTCCAGGCAGAGGGCGAAACCTTGGGCAAGTTTCCTTACTCCACACAGAGCCTAATAATAATCCCTCCAAAAAAACAAAAAACAATAATAAATTGGTGATCTTCAATCTACGACCGTTTGTGGGACATTGCTGTGCGCAATTGGCTGCCGCGTTCGTCCACAAATATACAGTCAATTCACTTTACAGTGTGGTCTGTGAAGCGCTTTGGGACGTCCTCCCAACGTGAAACGCACTATATCAAATGCAAGGATTATTTATTATTATAGTTACAATAATAATAATAGTTGGGTCAAATAGCCTGTTTTCGTCCTGTAATCTCTATGTAATTCGACGCAATTCTACCTGGACAAACAGAGGTCATTTACATCGACTGGATCTGCTGCTGTTTAACATTTTTTTTAATATAGAAAAATACCTGGTGTTAGTGCGCTCTACTTACTCAAAGTGTAAGTTTGAGTAAGTGTAAATTTGCCAGTTGGGCACATTGATTTGCTGTAAAAGCATGACAGTTCCTGAAGAGAAAAGGCTAGGCAAAGGGGGAAGAAAAAAAAAGCGTGCTCCACTAATGGTAAAACTTCCTGAAATCTGCTGACCTGGAAAAGTACGCCACAGGGAACTAACTCCTTACGACACATTCGTACGGAAATTATTTAAAAACGAAAAAAACTCAATCCGCAGAAATTTTCCTCCACACAACTGATAGCTGGGCATGTTAAGTCACTGTAGAGGTTGCAGAGCAGCATTTACCACACAGTTGCCAGGGGATTTCAACATCTCCATTCAGATTCTCAATACAGTAAGACCATTCTACTCCATTCATTAGATTTCTGCTCTAGTATGCCTCTTGTCAACACATTCACTAATTCGCTTAATCAGCACTTTTTAAAAAATATATAAGTAGTCTTTTTTCAACTCTTCTCTTCATCCCACGAGGATTGTCAATTGCTCCTGGCAGTGCAAATCGATAGTTAAATTAAGGGAGAGGTTTTTATTTTTTTCCCCCCTCAAAATAAAACGGTCCAAATTAGCATGTATACAAAGGCAGTAGCGGTGGTGACTGAACTTGCATGATTTTATCATTGTTAATTCATTCAGATTTACAGATATTTGAACCAGTATCAAAACAGGCTTGAATGTTAAAGAGTTAAATGACACCTTAAATGATATAAATGAAGGCAGCCCTGATAGTATAGTAGACAGAGCTGCAGATTGCAGAACAGGTGTTTGAGGGTACAAGTCCCAATCCATGCTCAGTTTGTTTTTCTCATGGAAAGGCTAAGCTCATCTTGTTATGCTGAAAATCAGCCTGACTTTAATCATCCTGACATACACAAAAGAGAGTCGAGGAACTCGGCCTATTTTCATTGGAACAGAGATGGTGGAGGTCAGACCTAAAATAGATCTTTAAAATTACGAGACGTTTTCATGGAGTTGATTCTAAAAAATTATTTCAACTGGCTGGTGAGTCATTGTCAATTTAGGATAATTAGCAAAGGGGAAGACGAGGAGTATTTTTCTAAACACAGAATGGTTTGAATACCCTGTCCAGTGTGGTGATTGGGTTAAAAATATTATCTAGAAATATTATCTTACAAAGGGGAACTAGATACTCCTAAAAAGGCAGCCATTTGCAGGGGAAAGGCAGGTAAATGGCATTCTTCTGTGTTGTAAATTTCTGCGGTTCTGTAGGCCCTCTAGAGCACCATCTACTGGTGGTGTGCATGTGGTAGCCAGGTGGGGGGACAAGTCAGGCTCGGCTGTGGTGTCCCCCAAAATCGAGTACCCTGCCGATACTCACTGACACGGCTCACACATGAACAATGTGACAACCAGCACGCATGAAACCATACCCCAACGAGAGTAAACCAGACCAGAAGCAGAGAGATATGTACAATATATCTGTGAAGAGCTTTGAGACGTCTCAACGACGTGATAAGGCGCTATATCAAATGTTCGGCCCGTGTCCTCTCCACTCCACCATCGGTGGCCTGAGGGGCGAGGCAGTGGCAGAGTCAGGCAATGTTGTGGAGTTGGGGGAAGGCAGAGCGGGTTATGGCACAGATGTGGGGGAGAAAGGACAGTTGAGGTTCGAACAAGACGCCCAGGTTCCTGACTGGTTTGGTGAGGTGGAGTGTGCATCTGTGGATGCTGATGTTGTCAATGCCTGAGGTGTGGAGGTGCTGGATTCCGCACCTCAGTCAATATACAGTCAATTCACTTTACAGTATATCCCGTGAAAGGCTTTGAGACATCTTGAAGACGTGATAAGGCGCGATATCAAACGCAAGAATATTATAATTATATTATTAACTCACTAATGGTGCACTGAAGCTGACGTCTGGATTATTTTCTATTTCCCACAATCCTTCATTGAATCCTTTCCTTTTGTTGGGTTTTCCGTATTTGTCTTTATATTTTTCAAATGCAAAAATGTCTTTTGGTCCCAAAAATGCCCTGGGCAAAACAAACAATAAACCAAACATTAGCAAGCTAACCTGCAGGTATTAAGTGGATACAAAGAAAGCACAGAGAAAAGGGATTAAATGACAAGCCATGCTTAAATAAAATTAAATAAAAACAGATGCATCACTCCATCACTTCAAACCTTAATTCTAAGTCTATATGAAGACCTGTAGGTTTTCGGTATTGATTTTTTGATCATGTTTAAAATCAGACTAGAAATTTAGGGGATTTTATCAATTTTCTTTTACAAAAACATGCAAATCCACACGCTTTAGACAAAAACAATTTACTTACGAGAAAGTGCATTAAACTCTAACCTATTCTATTTTAAACTTTAATTCACATTGATCATTAATCAAACAAATTCTGCAATTTATTTCCCCCAATGTAAACAGTGCTGCAAGCTTCTCATCTCAACAGTGCAGGTGAAAAGACTTTTCTCCATCTCCTGAGTCAGCAACCATATCAGTTAGAAATACATTCACAAGAGGTTATGTCAAAGCCTCATGTCTAAAATACAGGACTTGGCTTTTCTGAATTGCTTAGATTTAATATTCAGGAAATTGATTTTCCATTTATAGTGCAGTTTTTTGGAGGGGGGAGAAGGGAGACTCTCAATTGGGTACATTGATTAGCCAATATTCTCGGTTTAGAAATTTTAAAAATCATTTATTAAGAACCCACGTGTGAAATATTGCGAGAGGATCCAAACCTTCTTACCCTAATTAGCCACCCCTCCCATTCTAAAATTTTAGTGGTCGAGACCCTATTTCACACCCCGAGACACCAAAGTGTTACATTCTCCAGATGTACATAGCAGCAAATCACACTAAGCACTGGTGTTTTAACCCACTGCCTCCATGCCGTCAACCATACATAGTGGTTCATGTAAAAGTGAAAATGCTGACACAGCAGTTGCCTTACAAAGACTCTCTTGACCGCTGTCAATTATTCCTAAAAGACACCATCTTCTACAGAACACGTGTTAATATTGAATCAACAGCTACCTGGCAAAGCAAAGCTTCTCCCACTGTGTGGACTTTGATCCCTCTGCACAGCAACTGGAGCAATATTTTTCAAATCTTTAAAATCATTCTAGGCAGCTCAGTGGTGCACCATATACAAAACAAAATTACATTTGTATAGCGCCTTTCATGTCAGGAGGACATCCCAAGGCACTCCCCAATATAGTCACTTCCCAAGTAGGAGATAATAATAATAATCCTTGCAGTTGATATAGCGCCTTATCACTTCGTCAAGACATCTCAAAAGGCTTGACAGGATATACTGTAAAGTGTGTTTTGTGGGTGAAACGCAGCAGCCAATTGCGCACAGCTGTGTCCCACAAACAGTCGTGGATTGAGTGACTAAATTATTATTAGTATTTTTTTAAGGGATTATTACCCCCAGAAAGAGATGAGTTGTTCTTTCAAAACTCCACACCTGATCTCTGGGCTGGATATGACTGAATGTGGGCGAGTGACATGACCGAGGAGCCATATATAAGGCAATGTTTCTTTGAAAAAAAACTTTTTTGTAAAATACATGCAGTAGCTCAAAACTACACTAGGACCATTTCAAAAGTATCACAAAAATGTAAAATAACCAAGTAAAACAATGGGCACCAACCTACATAGGGGAGGTTTATTCTCCCTATATATATATATATACTATATAGTTTGGGACATGACATGTGACTGCCAGGATGGTAGAAGGCAAACTGAATGGTTATTATTCTTTTTTCAATCAAGCAATTCTCATGTTCTTGAGATTCTTTTCAGAAAGTTGGAAAATATTTAACTCTTGCTTTTTTGATGTCTACAACTGAAAACTGATCCTGCATTAACCATCTCTCTGTGTCCCCCCACTGAGGTTCATGACTTATCAGTAAATATTATACTATAAAAATACTCGTACATTGCACAGTGCTGTAACGAAGCGGAGATACGTACGTCTCATGAGTGCCGTAGAAAAAAATTGGATACTTATTTGATGGTGGTTTCACAGCACCCTCTGCTACATCGTCAATCTGAAACGGATGAAGAATTATTAATGAGAGTTATTTGGGTCAACAAGGAGGATGTGTTTATTTCTCCCATTCCACATTCTGAGTAAACAGCAGTCTCAATATGATTTACAGGCCATAATAATCTTAAATTCCTCAAATAGTTAATATACAAGTAGACTTTATAAATTCACAAGCAGCTCATTCATTATTCATATCTGGAGTCAAAACATTTATGGACTTCAATGCAGTGTAGTTTAACTCAACAATAAACTGCATTTCCCCCCTTCTTCTTGGGTTTTTCCATCCCTTGTTCCAAAGTTAAATGCCATTGCTCGCCAAGAAGTTACACAGATGTTCTACACCATTCTTTGCCAATACAGTTCTGAAACCAGTCAATGGGAGGTGTACCAGAACCCTCAGCAATGCACCTGTACATTTTCTATATAAAAAATACACTTGCACAAACATTTCTGTAGCTAAATTTAGTTTCCCCTTAAGATCAGAGATAGTCCTTCCTGGCTAAATCGCTGAGAGTAAGCCTTACAAGAAACCAAACAGAATTGTATCACAGCTGCCAAACACTCTGCTGATCCTAAATTTTGTTATTTCTTTCTAAGCTTTTTGAAAACTTGCAAAGAGAATAGGTCTTGGGCTATTATTGTCAATCCAAGTAGAAATGTTCAAGACAGATCTCCCATCTCACACAAGTAGCTTCTCTCTCACTCTCTCAGGAATGTGCTGATTTTTAACCTCAATGTATTCAAGAACATACTGGATGACCTAAATTTAAACTATTTGAAACAATTTCTTTATTCTTTCCACTGGCATCCCTTCTTGGTAATGAATCCAAATGCGACATTTACAAATTTGTTGACCATAAAATTTTATTCCAAACACAATCAAGCACTTTAACCAAATCTACAAGAGGTTTGATTTTATGAATCCATTGTATCACTTTAATAATAATCCTTGTATTTGATACAGTGCCTTACCACATCATCAAAATATCTCAAGGCACGTCAAGGAAATTCACTATGAAATGTAGTGACTGTATTTATAAGCAAATGCGGCAGCCAATTGCGACACAAATCCCTGAAGCAAATGCAAATTTAATGTGGAGGATTGTTGGCCAGGAAACTGCGAGAAACTCCCCTCCACTTTTCATATTGTGTCACGAGATCTTTAATGTCCAGCTAAAGAGGGAGACAAAAATTTAATACCCATACTGTTTGTAGGACTGTGGTGTGCAAATTGGCTACCATGTTTGCCAACAAATATACAGTCACTACACTTCTTAGTAAAATCCTGTGAAGTGCTTTGAGACATCTCAATGTTGTGATAGGTGCTATATCAAATGCAAGGATTATTATCATCATTATTATTATGATCAACACTTAATCTATAGGATACTTGAATGGTGCAATTTCCTTTGAAACTCAAGGCATGTGATACAACTGTTCCAAAATTTAGTTCTCATGTTATTATTCCAGATGCACACTGAACCGAAATCATATCTGTGCTGGCTCTTAGATCAATGAAATCGACTGAATCGTTTTTTCAATCTGCATCCTCAATGGTCCTGACATCCTTCCTAAAAGCAACGTGAACATCTTTGGACACAATAATGTGACCTAACTAATGATTTATACAAGTTAAGATTTATTTCATTGGCTTTATATTCTATATACTATTTCATAAAACCTACGATCCCAAGAGCTTTCTTCACAGTTTTGTCCATCTTGAGAGAAGGATTTAGATATGTTAACTCCTACATCTGTCTGCCCTTCCACTCCATTTAAAATTGTATCCATTTATCATATCCTCGTACTTCCTCTCCCTACTCCTCCCATAAAAGGTATAACCTCGCGCTTTTCTACATTAAATTCATCTGCCATCTCTCTGCCTACGTAGAGTCTATTTCCTCCTGATCTTTACATTCTTCATTGTTCTTCATTGTTAATTTGTACCTCATATAATCTTAGAATTGAGCATCTTGTATCACAGTTCAGTTTATATAAAACGCAGTGGTCCATGACCACCACCATTTACATCTCTCAATTTCAAATAAGAACATATACTTACTCCCACTTTCTTTTGAATTCCTTTAACAGGTGCAGCAAAGCAATTAGGAAGGCGAACGGTATGTTAGCATTCATTATGAAAGGATTAGAGTATAAGAGTAGGGAAGTCTTGCTGCAACTGTATAGGTGAGACCACACCTGGAATACTGTGTGCAGTTTTGGTCTCCTTATTTAAGGAAGGATGTACTTGCCTTGGAGGGAGTGCAGCGTAGATTTACTCGGTTAGTGCCAGGGATGAAGGGGATGAGTTACGAGGATAGGCTGACCAATTTGGGCCGATATTCTCTAGAATATAGAAGAATTAGAGGGGATCTTACAGAAACCTATAAGATCATCAAAGGGCATGATAGAGTAGACAGTGGGAGATTGTTTCCCCTGGTTGGAGAAACTAAAACCAGGGGTCACAACCTTAAACTCAGAGGCAGCCCTTTCGCACTGAGTTGAGGAAGAACTTCTTCACTCAAAGGGCAGTGAATGTATGGAACTCACTACCCCAAAGGGCTGTTGATGCTCAGTCCTTGAACATATTCAAGACTGAGATAGATAGATTTCTTATTGCAAAAGGGATTAAGGGATATGGGGATAAGACAGTGTCAGGTTATTAGCTGGAGTTAGATTAGAAGATCAGCCATGATTGAATGGCGGGGCAGAGGCTCGGAGGGCCGAATGGCCTACTCCTGCTCCTACATGTTATGTTAACCAACTTTTTATCCATGCCACCACACTGCATGAATATCATGCACCTTAATTTCTTTTAAAACAAAACAAAACCTCTTACACTGCACCTTACCAAAAACCTCCTGAAATCCCATATATAGTACATCCACTGCATTACTTTCATTAATTCTCTTAGTAATTCTCTTAGACTGTGGAGTCCTGTAGCTCAGTGGTTAGAGCACTCGCCTCGCAAGCGAGAAACCTGGGTTCGATTCCCGGCAGGGCGAAACGTTGGACAAGTTTCCTTATTCATATTGCCTCTCTTTACCTAGCAGTAAGTAGGAATCCAGTTGTTAGTTGATTGCAGATTGCTTTTCTGCGGTTAACAATTCCTTCAAAAAAAGATAATTTAGACACTCAATCCATGACTGTTTGTGGGACACTGCTGTGTGCAATTGACTGCCACGTTTCGCTAAAAAAATGCAGTCAATTCACTTTACAGTATATTATTCTGTGAAGCGCTTTGAGACATTTCAAAGACATGATAAGGCACTATATCAAATGCAAGATTATTATATTATTAAGACATGGCAAGGATTATTAATACAATATTATCAAAGAAATTCAACAACATGTATTTATATGGCCCCCCCATGCAGCGTAATGTCTCAAGAGTACTTAGCTCGGGTCATGAAGAACTCCAGTCTGGGTGTGTTAGCTTTTAATTGTGGGATATAAGAAAGAGGACATGCACTTAAACACTTCTTTTTAAACAGGTTATTTTTTGCTTTCCTAATACAAAGTAAAACATTAAATAGTTAATAGTTTTCTTTGTACTTAATTCCATCAACACCCAATTTTCTATTTATAATTGGTTCATGTCTTTACAAACCCAAGCTTTTTAGGTGTGCTGGAGATTTTGCACACCAACAACAACAACAAGATTCCATTTATTGAGCGCCTTTCACGTCGGGAGGACGTCCCAAGGCGCTGTACAGTTGGGTCAGGACCCGAGCAGGGGGAAATGGTCAGGGTGAGGGAAGGGAGGGAGCGAGGAGGGGGTAGAGAGTCGAGAGGGGAGCTGAAGGCTCGGTCAAAGAGAAAGGTCTTGAGACCGGCCCTGAAGGATGAAAGGGAGGAAGCGGCGAAGGCACTGGGGATAGAGTTCCAGAGCCTCGGGGCTGAGAGGCTGAAGGCCACCGATGGTAGGGCGGTTGGGGCGGGGGATGTGGAGCAGACCGGAGCCAGAGGAACGGAGGGTACGGGCAGGTAGGTAGGGGGATAGCAGGTTGGAGAGGTAGGGGGAGCGAGGCCGTGAATGGCCTTGTAGGTGAGGATGAGGATCTTGAATTTGACTGGGTTTATTCAGACAATACCATAAATAAATAAACGCTGCACTTCTGTGCATTTTTTCCTAATGCAGTCTTCAGCATTTTCTCCCTTTGTTTAGATTCTATTTCACATACAAGTATCACCTGCAGAATATAACATTGCAGTACTCAACAGGATCATTTGCTCCAAAGTATGAGTTTCATTAACTTGAAGCAGCGTTACTGAATCAGATGGAAATCTTACATTTTACATGTCCAAATCAACTGAACAAAACAATCTGTTTCAAGTGGTAAGACAGCAATTCAATTGCCAACATATACTTTGCACTAATGGTACAAAATATTCTATCATTAAAACCTGAAATTAAAGTCAACAAGCCTACAATTCTTTAGATTCTTCATCATTAGATGATATGGCTACTTTTAAAAAAAATTAATGTCAATGTCAGTGGGAAGATTTAGTTGTACACAATACAGTAAACTCCTGATAACTCATCGCTCCAAGGGGGAAAAGGCTTAGTGATGAGGTGTATGGAATGGCGAGTTATGCATATGTATCAATACAGTAAACTACTGATAACTCAACCGTGGCGCAACTTGTCACTACTACTTAACTCATGGTACTGTCAATGTCTTGGGTGCATTTATTTATGTATTTGTTCTATAGGCATTAGCATAATTAGAGCCTATTAAATGTGATGGATTGAGTCCATTTAAAAAAATTAGGCCTTGTGTTCTAATGCGGCAAGTTATAAAAATAGGTGCCGGTCAGCGCTATCAGGTCACAGTTACCGATACCATCACTAAATCACAGTTATATTGGAACCAAATACCAAAGTGTGCATGGTGTATCGGGGTCCCTGGTGTTTTGACATGCACTGGGTCACCTCTGCATTCACAGAGGAAGGAAAATGAAAGTCAGAGAACAGTGAAAATGTCATCAGTAGCAAAC